TATTTCTGTTTGTATGGATGTGTTTATATATTTGTATGTTAGACTATATGTATATTGGTGTGTGTTGGTATTTGAAGGTATATTTATGTATCTATATGTTAGTACGTTTATGTATGTATTTGGTTGAGTGTTGTTGTAATTTTATGTATGCATGTGTATATGGGTAGTTGTTATTGTAGATAGATATATTTATATATATGTTTATTTGTAGATATGTATGTATGTGTGTATATATATTTATGTATGTTTATGTGTATATATATATATATGTGTGGGTGTTGGCACCTATTATGTATGAGTTTGTGTGTATGTGGGGGTATGGAAACTTTGGTATATCATGACTGTTTTTTATATATGTAAGTATGTGTGCATAAAAGTTTGTGTGTATATATGTGTGTGTATTTAGGTTTATATGTATATGTGCGTGCATGTGTACTTGTTATCATAGATATGTATATGTGCGTATATGTTTATATATTTATTTGTATGCATTTCTGTATGTAAATGTATGTATGAGTGTATATTTATGTGTGTTAATTTGTTTTTGCTCCCGTGTATATATATATATATATATATATATATATATATATATGTATATGTATATAGTTGTGTGTTTCTGTATACTGTTTTTCTTTGCCTAATATATAATGAAACTATTATCAACTTATATGATTAATATATATTTTATTGATATTTATGGTTTTAGAATTTTTCGTTTTAATATATTAAATAATATTATTTTTAACCATTTTTATCTTTGTATATTTGCTCCTTAAGTTATAATTCAATAAGTGGTTAGCATTTATTTAAGTCTGAAATATTTATTGGTTGTGATTTCTCATTGTCTGTCATTGTCTGTGGATGTATGTATGTGTATCTATCGGTGTCTATGTGTATGTAGAGTGTATTCACTGTGTGTGTGTATTAGTGTTAGTTTCACGTCTCCTTTTTTCATAAAAAAGGCTGTAGAGATGTTCATGTATTTCCCCCACCTCCTCCTTTTTTTTTTTTTTTTAGTGTGTATGTATGTGTGTGTGTGTTTGTGTGTATGTGTGTGTGTGTGTGTATATCTAATTATGTCTGGGTGCTTATGTATTATAATCTGATTGTGTTTTTGTTGTCTTGACGCGTGAGTTTAAGACCACATCCACAAACTTTAAAATAAAAACGGAAATGAAAGGGAAAAGGAAAAAAAAATATATACATGTATTATCAAATGACCGGATATATTGTAGCGTCCTTGTCGAACGTAATTTCAATGAAGAAATGAATTGAATAATTTTTTCTTTTCTCAATAATTTTGTAGTTTTTAAACTTAATAGTGATTAAATTTGGATTTTAAAATTACCAGTTTTTAATTTTAATATTAAATTTTATCATATAATTTTATAATTATTAGTTAGTATAAATTATTTTTAATATTACACGTATTTAAAGATCTGAATAGCTATTATAGCAGGATTTCGTTGTCAAGCTTTTGAATCTTTCTATACTTCGTTTTTTGATTGGTTATTCTAGCTTTTGTAACAATGCTCCCCCTAGTGTAGGATCGTTAATTAATCTGAAACTTTTAAAACCATTTATTTTCTTTTCAACATCATCACTTGAGAAGACACAGAATGTGTTGAAACAAAATGGCTATTTTTGTAGTGATCTTATAACATACTTATGTTATAATTTTTATAAAAAATAATTTATATATATATATATATATATATATATATATATAATGTATATATCTTGTTTGTTAAGTATGCCAGACAAGTCTTAATTTTTTAGTTAGTTTTTCCAGCATCCTTACATTTTTTCCATAATTTTCATTGTCCACACTCATCTCCTTATCAAAAAAAAAAAAAAAAAAAAAAATTTAACTGTTGATTTTTACGTTGTTCATGAATAGGGATATCAGTGCTTTGACACAAATTAAGTCTTTTTTTAAGAAATGATTACTTAATAACTAATTAGTGATGTTTTGTCTTACACCATTTATCATCATTAAATGGAGAGTCTATTGGTGACATGAACACCTCCCAGTCCCAATAAACACAAAAAAGAGAATTAGAACCTGAAAATAAAGTACTAATATTATAGTAATAGTAAAATTAGGCATTTCTATATAGACAAAATGCAGAATTCATTGACCAACAGTTAGCATTACTGTTAGTTGAAATTTATAAAATCTTTTTTTTTTTTAATTGTTTTTCAGGAAATTAGACTTCAAGTTCATTGTTATAGCTCATTCTGGTATTGATGGGAGTTTCCTTCCTAACCTTTTGTTTAGGTAGTGTGGAAAGTTAACAGCATGATTATATTATTATTTTCATTTCTAGTTACATGCATGTGCTACCAACTTTTGTTGCTGCTGTTAGATTTATGGTAAATAATATTATAAAAAGTTATCAAATAATCAAAATTTGTTTATTTTATAAATGTTCACTTGCTTTCCGTCTGAAAAAAGAAAGAAGCAAAAAAAAAAAATCACAAAAAATAAACCCTCTTTAGAAAAAGGTCAGTTAAAATAGAACCCCAGTTTTATAGAGGACACAAAGTACTTTTTGTGTAGAGATAATCTAAATACAGTATTGCTTTTCAGTCATCTCAACAACAAAGTGTCAGCTGACAGTAAACACAAGCAGGCATTGGCCAATTTCAGCACAACTCAGCTGGTTTCCTTTTCTGTACAAAGATGGCCTTTGAAATAGTAAAAAATGGTAATTGCAAAACATAAGCTCTGTTGTTTCTTTCTATCATCTTTCTAGCTCAGGAAAAACCTCTTTTGAAGAGGCAAAAAATAACACAAAATGCTTTTTATCATCTTGCATGGAGATCTGCCACAAAGTTCTTTTTGTACTTTTGTGAATTATAATTATCATTTAAGTTAAATGTGTAGTGGTAGGCTAAGTTTAATAAATAAAATATAAATATTTCCTAAATCCCCTGAAAAGTATCAGTTACTTATCTCCTTAACACCTCATTAACATTAGCATCAGTATTCTTAAGGAAAGGACAATTTGCTAACTTCATTTCTGAAACCAGATACTTAGATAAGCAAAACAAAAGATCAATGATACTGTTACACAGTGAAGGACTATCCTACACACACTCACTCACTAACCACAATATAAACTCAAGAAAAGAAGTTTTTGAGGTCAATTGTCTCTATCCTTTCACCAGAAAGCATGACAGGCTGATCCACTCCTCTAAGTATCAGAGAACAAATCAGGACAACTGCTTGCTACAAAGAAGGAGAAGTCTTGCTCTTTGTTTCAATGTACTGTGAGATGAACTCTGTTACACAAGAAGGATACAATTTGTATTCATAAAAAAGAAAATAAACCCCCCAAAACAATGTGTGTTCATTGTTCATTACTTTTGTGCCAAACACCACAAGTGATATATTGGTTACTAAAGAAGCAATTTAACGTTATTTCATAATTGAGATACCCATATTGCAATCTGGCATCTGTTTTGTTTTATGAACTCAAGTTTGGGAAAACAAGTCAAATTTTAATTTAGAATATTTTAAACAATCAAATTCATTCCCATTGTGGGACATTCTGAAGGAATCAACCTCTATACACAAGCAATGGTCTATGACGTAAGCTTATTAACAATCTTTGTGATGTAGCTGTATTAAATGTTTCAAAAGTTTAGCTTAGTCTGGCAGAGGGCCATAATCATGAGGCAATCAGTAAGAATTCATTATTCAGATCGATATCCTCATCTTTTGATTCAGACCAATACCTTTATCTTTGTTTTTTTTTTTGTTTTGATTTGTTGCATTTTCCAATCTGTTTTGCTTGTTTGTTTCACCTGTCAATCTTCAAGGAGACTTGAAATTAAATTTTATATTTTATTCAAGAGAACGTTTTTGACTGTCGCACTTGTTCAACAGGAATCTGTATCCATTGGAAGTGTCAGCTATACTGATTAAAGTGTCCTCTCCATTTATATACATATATGATGAGGATGTTAATCTGTATGATTTAAGGGAAGGGAAAAATAATGTCAGAGCTTCAGATGATGAAGCCTATTTTGAGAACATCTATAATATTGGCACACTTTGACATTTTACAAGTAGTCTCCTGTTTTCATAAAGGCCAAACCAGCTTTGATGAAGAGAGCAGAAGCATTTACAGCACATTCACCACTTTTCAAGAAAAGCAGTTTTTCTAAATGAAATAATCAGCTTTGGTATTTAAGAGAGAATAACTATCAACTCTTGTATTTATTAATCTTTTACCAAGTTTGGCATAAGGTCATAATTGTAGAGCATCCAGTGAAAATTAACTTAGTAGATATTGACTTAGCTTTAGACTTGGTAAAAAGTTTAGTTAATAGTAATGACAATTTTTAAAAATTCAAATACCTGCTTTTATTTTACCGACCATATTTTTGTCATAATATGCACGATATGATTCATTCTGTCATGGGCGTTTCTGATGAGTAGAGCTATGTGGGTCCCCTTCTATCACAATCCATCATCCAACTATGAACTCATCTTTATTGTATAATGTGCAAGGGCAATTTTAAGACAAGTCTTTTGTGAAAAATGTGTATACTATATATGGAAAAATAGAACGAGCTTTGAGAACATTGTCAATTATTTTATTTTAAATACTTATTTTCTGAATATAAAAATCCCAGTGACTGTTACTTTGTAATGTACAAAACATGACATGCTACCTTTTTGCTTATATCTATGAGTTGAGAGCAGATATACTTTTCACATTTTGAATACATAGCCGCAAAATATACCCAAATAAAAAAAAGTATAACAAGAAAAATTACTTTTGCATACTTAAATCATGTCTTGCACTGTTTTTAGGAGTTTTGAAGTATGGGATCAGTTTTCTGTTGTTATTAAGTAAAAATCCGATTGCAAGTATTTTTCTAAAAAGATTTTTTTTTTAAGTATTTCCAGTTTTAATTTTGGCTTTAATTCCTTAAAAATTACTTTTGTATACTTAATAATTTAATAAAAAGACAGCCTTAGATCACATTGAAATACTGGTTCCCATACAAATCACTGAAGTTAAGCAACATTGAGCCTGGTCAGTATCTAGATGGGAGATTGCTTGGAAATAGCAGGTGCTGTAAGCTTGGATGTGCAGGTGGTGCAATGGATAATGGCTTGGAATTGTTAATCAGAGAGCTAGGTTACAATTTTCATTGGGTTTATCATAGTCATTTACATGCAAATACCCTTGAGAAAGGCATGAATCCACCTCTTCTCTAAAGTAAAACTTGTATTGCTAAACCATTATTATCTCAAAAAAAAAAAAAAAATCTTACAATCTAAAAATATTTTCTGGCTTTAGATAACCTGCAAAGAGTTCATAAGCCTTAGAAAAGAATCAATCAATCGATTAATAAGAAGAAAAAGGTGATGTGTTAAGGTTTCTTAGTTTTAAAAGAATGAGATCTAAAAGTAATCCTTTTATCAGTTGTGGGAGAGTAACAATAAAGAATATTATTATTATTATGTAACTGAAAATATATTTATTGCAAAATAGAAAAGTGGGAATTTTTTTTATTTAATTTTGTTTTCAGAAATGGTCTTTATCATAAAAATTAGTGTTCATCATTTTGCCAAAACTGCACAAAATTTGAAAGATATAATTATCATTGAGGTACTTATGTAACATTAGTTGAATTTTACCAACAGTGACAAAAATATATTCCCAGCATTAGCTGCATATGACAGGGAACACTTGAGTTATGTAACAATCCTTTTTTAAAAACTTTGAAAAGAACCACTTATCTTATTCACAATTTTCTTTGTTAACTTTTGACATTAATGTAATTTAAAACATCTATAGAATTAAGCAAAAAATATGTCTCCACAACTGAAAAACATTTTGGCAAAATTTAACAAATATAGCCACAAAAAAACTGTGTCAAAAATGTTCTCTCTATACTGCTATTACTGTATACTCTCTATTTTTAGAATTGGAATAAAACTCAAACATATGAAACTAGATTTATAAATTTTCTTTTTTTTTCTCTAGAACTCACAAGAAAAGAAATTAAACATTATTAATTATTAGATTGTTTATTTATGAGAATAATTTTATAATTTCTTCTATGTGCCATGTCCCTTCAAGACACTGGCGATCATGGCTCTCCACAATTTCCAGTCTTTTTTAATAAATTTGATTTTTTTTTTTATCTCTTAAACCTTGCTTGGCCATTCATTTACTCAGTAGCTTATGTAGTGTTTTCCACTGTCCCTCTTGTCTTCAAAATGTCATGTGAGTATTAAATTTTCCAAGCCCTCTTTCCTCAATATGTGCCTGAAAATTTCAGTTGTTTCTTCTTGATGTCAAGTGTCCTTTTCATTTCCATTTTCTCTAAAACATTGTCATTGATCACATGTTTGGTCTATGGAATCCTCAGCATCCTTCTGTAGAACCACATTTCTGTTACTTCAATTATCTTCTTCATCTGTTAGATTTTCCAGCATTCACTACCATATAGGAGGACTGATATCACATAATATTTCAGTACTCTTCATTGTTTCTAACAAAATTTTCTTGTTTCTTAATACTTTGCTTAGCTTTCGGAAGGAATCTTTCACTATCTGAATGCACTTTCAGATTTCAGTGTCGCACTTTCTGTCCTATATTAAAACACTTCCCAGATATTTTAATTTGTAATTTGAATGTTGGGCTGTTCATTCTACTAATAACCATGCATTTCGTCTTCTTGCAATTGATGTTTAGTCCTTTCTTCACACGATCTTCTTGGATGGGGGGGGATTCAGGGTCAAGCTGAAAATTTTTCAGCACCTCATATGCCAAACAAACATTCATTTTTTTTTGTAATGTTTATCCTTTGTGCCTGCAAAATGCAGTGCAAAAGTATGGTTATTCCTTTGACACCACTATTATTGCATACACTTTTAACTCCCTCAGTAATGTTTATTTACAAGATTATAAAATTATGCAAACCAAGTAGAATGTGATATTATTTACCTTCTATAAAGAGACTTATTTAAGAAATAAATTTGAAACAAAATCTTTTTATCCAAAAATTTATAAAAAATTACAAAATTATCAAAATATGTAAAGTAATTACAATTTCCAATATTTATTATTTAGCATTTTATAAATAAATATGAAAACAAGTTTTTTAAACACTATTTATTTATTAGAGTGAATAACATCTTTGTTATCATTCTCCAGAATAAAGAAAATGTATAAATCCACTTTCATATGTTTGGATTTCATTAAAATTCTAATCATCACTTTTTAAAAACAAATAGTGTGTATAGTAATAGTGGATTCAAGGGAATAACCAGCCATTTGACACTTTTTTTTGTGGGCATAAAGTTTAAACATTATCCATTTCTCTCTCTCTTTCATATATATCTCATGTAATGCCTGATGAGATGTGTTAATACACATTAAAACATGATTGCATTTGTGTAGTGTTTTTGATGTAATATCCTAAAATAAAATGTGTGTGTATATATATATATATATATATATATATATTTTTATTTAAAAAATATTTTACATCGTGACACAGAAATTTCTGTTTTGGAACTTTAAATTTGTTTCATTATGATCTACTTTTGAAAACAGAATGATATTTTATTGAAGAGTTAAGAAGTTTTAAGAAGAGTTTAAAAAGAGGGAGGAACAAGATTTCAATATTTTATGGGTATGTCCTGCTTGACCAATCAAAAGACAGGTCTAAGCTAAAGCAGAAAAATTAAAAATAGATTAATTTTAGGATTTTATTTTAAAAAAAAAAAAAAGTATTTTTGTATATACTTTAGAACTATCTTAAAGGGACCTTTAGTATGATTAAAAATACAATACTTATTATATTCAATTAGCCATAAGACATGGCAATATTAAAATTAAAAATCAAGGAATTAAATAATTATATGTACCATTATATATAAAATAATGGATGTATAATTGTAATACATATATTTTTGTAATGAAAATTTCAATTAACTATATTTTAAAGTAAATATTATACAATGCCTAAAAATTACAGTTAGTTCATTACACTATTTAATAATAGATCATTATTTTTAGTAAACTTAATAATATGCAGCTTTTCATGTAGACACAGGGGACATGGCTCATTTAATGACTTGCAAATTCTGGTTTTTTAATATTTTCCATTTTGTTGTGGGGTTTTATTGATTTCTTTTAAATACCGTATATATATATATATATATATATATATATATATTTTTGGTATATGTTAGCTCTATCTCTGATATTGAGCGCTTTCTAATAGGTACCACGATATAATATATAAATAATTATACATATATATATATATATATATATATATATATATATATATATATATATATACAAACACACACACACACACACACACACATATACATATATATGAATGAGAGAAAGAAAGAAAGGATAATTGTTAGTACTGTATGCAGCAATAGAATATATATTTTTATATGTGCTGAAAAAATTGAAATATTTTTTGTATTCTTCATGATACACAGTAAAGAAATACCTGAAAAAAAAAAAAAAAAGAAAAAAAAAAGAAGTTGCAATATTCCTATACATCTAGTGACCAGAACAGACAAAAGATTTTATTTAGGGTTGTTGCATTAAAATATCTACAATGAGACTGAAAGTTTTTCCATTGCTTCATAAACTGAGACATAAATTTTTTTTATATGCTTCGTCAAGTTAATTCAGCCAAGTTGATGACATGATTTTTTTTTCTCAATAAATCTGATGAAGTTTGAATAAAAATGTTTTTAAATCCTGAAAATGCTAAGTAACTCTACATCAAAAGTTATCAAATATTTGTTGTCCAATGTTTCTGCATGAGAAAAAGCTTTTAAATACATACTTATAAATATATAAATATAAATAAAAGAGAGATACAGGAATAATTTCTTATGAGATGAAGACGGTTGCCTTGGGCCCCTTACCAAAATTGTTTATACCATCTGTTGCAGATAAAATCAGAGATGCAATAAAAAGAAAAAGAAAAAAAAATGTTTTAGCTTCCAACCTTAAAATTTTCATGTGATCTTTTTATGTTACATTTTATTTTAGACGTTAACTTCCCTTGCGAATAACTGAAATGCACACCCACAAGTAAGAATAAAAAGTCAGAAATTTACTAAGATAGGTTACAGAGATGTGGATAGCCTAACAATTTACTAAGATAGGTTACAGAGATGTGGATAGCCTAACAATTAAACAGTGAAGCTAGTGAACCGTGTTCAATTTCAAGCTGGGATAGTTTTTGTTCACTTTGTACTATTAATATTATGGTTTTTCTGAACAAAGATTTACCCCATTAGTTTTAGCCTCTCAGAAGTTTAGTGAGGTCAATAAATAAGAAACAATTTTCTCTCCTACCTTAGCTATGAGTAAAATAGCAAAATAGACTAGGCTCTATAGCCTTGGTTAATAACCAGCCTAAGAATAGGACAAATTTGAAGACAAAACTAATGGCTTCATCATGCAGTTAGCAACTCACCCACTGCTTGTAAAAAACCTCCTTCCTATTGAAACTGGAAACAGTATTAGTGTGCTTGTGGCCCTTAACTCCATGTAGAGTGAGCCTGTCTAAATATGTGAACAAGTTTAGGTTAATCTGGAATAAGACCATAACATGAGGATTATATTCACTGCAATAGAAATAGTCTCATAAGATCTAATTCCAAAGAGCTAAATTCACCTTCATTCATACAGTTAGTTATATCAAGAGAATCCAACTTATTAGTTTAGTAATAGGCTGTGAAACAGATTTCTAGACATTGCTATATGACAGATGCTCTATAGATAGAGTTTGCTAATGGTCACCAGCAAGAGGAAAAGCCCAAATTGGAGATGTCAACATCAACCAAGTACAGAGGTTTAAATATCTGGGAAGTGTTTTAATAGAGGATGGATAATGTAACACTGAAATCCGAACACACATTGGACTATCAAAAGAGGCATTTTAAAAGCTAAGTAGAGTGCTGAGAAACAGAAAAAATTTGTTAGAAACAAAGAAAAAGAGGGCTGGATTGCTATGTGATGTCCATCCTCTTATATGGCAGTGAATGCTAGACAATCTGCCCATAGATGAGGAGTAAACTGGAGG